TACATGTTCTTAAGCATTTGTAATTCTTAAGTAAGTTTTTGTAATCCCATTTTGCTGCCCTGAATGTAAAATTAGCACCGTAGTGGTTTTTTTTTCCTGTTGCTTGCCTATGTAATATTCTTCTGCAGTCTCTCTTCCTTCTTTTTGGCTTTTTCTTTTATTAACTTAGGTTTTATTTTGTTTTATTATGAATGTGGGGAGTTTTCATGTGGGTTTTTTATAGTTTATTTTATCCTTCTTTTTTTCTGGAGTCAGTGAATCAGGAATACCTTTCACATCCGCCCCTGTGAGCTTACCCAAGGCAGATGAACAAAGATCTCTTGTTGTATGCAGCTTTCTCAACAACTCAGGGCACTGTTAATATTGCCCTGTCAAATCAATTTATTTCAGAAAGAGAAGCAGCACCTGTCAAGGGAGTACACTGTCTGATAAGCGAGGGTGCTTCAGGGGAAGCTGGCCAAGCTTCAGACAACAAGCTTCATTGCCTGCCCCATCACCTGAAAACTTCTCGTTTTCTACGCTCCGCAGTAACATGTTACACTGCATAGAGTCCCACTCCAAACAGTCATTTCACAAGGGCTTGGGAATTGACTGCAGAACAGCCTGTTACTTTTTACTTACCCATGCTGGAGGTCCATGTCAATGTGAATTGAAAAATATATTTTGAAGTTCACATTAGGATTCAGTGTCTAGTATGTGCCAACTTTCTTTTTTAATACAATCACTTCTCTGGGAGTCTGAACTGTCTTTGGTCTGACTCCACACAGTGGCTGGCTAAAATATTCGATCCATTATCTTTCCTGCTTTCTTGGGTTCCTCTCTGTGCTCACGCTTGTGTGTGTCTTCAGAGGAAGGTGAGTATTTTTCTTTGAAAAAATAGTACTTTGCACATGATTAAGTTTGAAATAATATGCAGATTTTCCCTGGAGAGTTACTGATAAATAGTTCCCTTGAGACTTTATGAATCAGGATTCTGTCATGTTATGGGAAGCATTTAGGGAACAGGAACAGTTCAGCAATGAAAAAAACATTATAGTCTTGGTTCATCAGGTTCATCAGCCCTGTTGTGAGGGCTCGGATTGAGACTGGGATTCCTTGGGTCACCCCAACTGTCTTTTGGAGTTGAGAGCATCTTACTGATGAATTCTTCTGATTCTACATTAGAGTTATGGAAAAAACCTGTTTGAGATTGGGTTAACAGTCAGTTAGGGTGGCTGTCAGTAGCAAAAATGCTTGTTAGGATCTCCAAAAAGCCTGGGGCATGCTGTGCTCCTGGGCTGCCTTTCCAGCCTTTTCTTTCTTTCTTTCTTTCTTTTTTTTAAATTCCCTGTTTTAGTTGGCTGCTGTTGAAGTATGTCTTTGGTGTGGCAGGCGAGGAGGCCTATGTAGTACTGATTTCCCAAAGCACTAGAAGGGAACCTGCTGTGGTAGTTGTGTGGCTCGTGAGTGTGCTGGGTAGTTGGGTTTATCTGATCAGTAAGGTTTGGTTTGAAAACCTGCCAGTGGATTATGGAGCCTGTAGCATTTGCTGCATAATGTTAACAGATAATCCCTGTATTTAAAAGAATGCTTTACTTTGGGTTAATCTATTGAAGTGGACATTCAAACAGAATTAAAAAGTTAAAAAAAAACCAACAGGCCAAAGCCACCCCTCCCTGATCAGAAATGCTCGCTTTCAATCCATTCACTTCAGCAATGCTCTGAAACAAAACTACTCTGGCTTTGATCCAAAACCAATCTATGAATACGCCAAAAATGTGATAAATGCTAATCAAATGTAATATAATGAATCAGCTGTGACATTTTATTATGGAAATTAAATATCATGCAAAACCTTGCCTAAGGAAAATAAATTGTCAGGGAAAATACTAATTTTCATGTGATAATCAAGTTTTCTTTTCTTTTCATTTCCATGTCTAAAAACGTTTCAGTTTCACTTTTTATAAGAGGCATTTGGTATGAAAGCCATTTCAAGCAGGATTTAATTTATGGAATTGAAAAGACTTGCCACTCCCACTTAATCACAGGAAAACAGAACTGGATGTAGGGAATGGTGGTGCTATTTTGAGAGTCAGAAAGATCTAAAAGGTTGAAAAATTAACTTGCACTTTACCACAATTCTTCTAAGCAAGTATGCTGTTCTTCAGTGGTATGATGCCCATTTTCTTTGCCAATTCGGGAGGAATATTGAGTGTCAGTGAATTGTACCTGTAGTGAAATACTCCTACAACTTGTCATCTCAGGGAGAACCTCAGTGGACTGGTAGGATTGTTCTAGGGACGTAGTCCTAAAGGTGAATTATTAATAATGGTTTGATTAATAATGAAACTGTAGATTACTGGGCCTGGTGGATTTGTCTTCAAGGTCTTTAGTTTGTTGACCTCTTGTGGGTATGTATTGAATTAAAAGGGATGTCTCTGGCATACTGTGTCTAATGTGACATGCTCACAAGCATATGGCAAACCCCATTTATAAACTGCCTAAGCTCTGTCTTATGAGCAACAAATGTCTCCTGCATTTTCCCCTTTCTAACCGTCCTTCCCAGTTTCCATCTCATCTGCATTCCCAGCCAGCTATGATCATTGTTATATTTTGTCACTGATTGCTTATATTTGTCTTCCTGAAGTAGTTTTCACCACTTTGTTGCATTTTTAAGTAATACCCGTAAGACAGGGACTCTCTTTTTGTGCAATTTTTCTATGTCTGTTTGGTTTGAATTTGCCTTTCTTGAAAGTGAGTGACTCCTATTCTGCATAGTATGTCAGAAATAGTCTAATTCTAAGTAGGATGTTACAAAGTGGTATTGAACAGATGATCCTTATTCTGTCTGATCACTTCTATAGGGATTATCTTTATCTTTACCTCCTTGAAGTGACATTTGCCCATTTCATGGTTATATCATTTCATGGTCAGTTGTTACTCACAGAATTTTCTCCTCGTTTCTAAGTGTTAAAACTCATAGCTACATGCAGAAGTTTTCATTAGTCTCCAAGCACATGACCCACCACTTTTGTTTCACTGAATTTTTTTCTGTAGCTGTTATTCATCAAATCCCTGCAATCTTTTCTGTAGGTTAGTCCAGTCCTCCTGCCTTGGCAGGGTTTCTCACCTTTGAGCTGTCAGCCAACAGATTCCATCAGCGCAGCTTTACCTTTTGTGTAAGTGTTGCTCATTAAAATGCTAGGTCAGATTGGCATCAGAATTTGTCCTTGACATGACAATCCCCAGTAGTAACCTCTGTCACAGCTTGACTTTATTCCTTGACAATGCTAATACACAGATGTTTTGAGTGCATTTCTTGGGAATATTCCAGGGTACTTAATATTTTATCACTTTCAAATTGCAGTGTACAGAAGCCCTACTTCTATTTAGGATGGAGTACTCAGTTTTAATAATATTATTTCATTATAAAATAAATGTAAAGTACTGTATTCAGTGCAAGAGTATCTATAAAATTGTCTTTTAAATAGTCCTACTAGTCAAACAAAACAGTTGCATTACACCTTTAATGCTCATTAACACAAGCAATGTCCTGAAAGCCCTACAGTATTATGTTCCACCAGGCAGATGTGTAAAGGGTCTCCTGAATTTGTCCAGCTTAAACAGGGCTAAAAGCAGGTTTGGCATGTAATTTTGAAAAAAGCTGTGAGTGCACAGCTTTTATATCACCACAAATGCTGCTGCTTGACCATTTCTGATTAAACAACCACTGGCATCCACATTAGTTAAGGTTGAGTTTTCATACCATAGGACTTGAGCTAGCTGTTCTTTCCCTAACTTTTCTTGAGCTGGAAATGTTGTGTACTATCACTTTTGACATGGCACGGGTGATGTTTTTTGTTTTGTCGTTATCTCTTGCTTCAGTGTCCTGACCTGCCCTGATTCAACTTAAGCCTGAAAACCAGGACAGTGTCATAGAATTTAACCCCCTTGGGTCAGACCATTTTGTGAAAGTTCTTTGGATCTTCCTTCAGTCAGTGAGGTATCTTAGAGGAATGCATTTTGCTTAGTCAAGATATTTGTAAGACTCTTGGACTTATATTCCTTAAGTCCCTTAAACATCTGATCGTGCTATTTTCTATAAGCACAAACAGAAGATTCCATTCCTCATGTATTGGCTCTTCCATCTTCCTTGTCCTTAGGAAGACAGCACGATTGCTAATGGCCTAATAATGCACTTGTGCTGTGCACCTTGGCTCTCTGGGGGCTGCAGTTGACACTGGTGGGATGAGCAGTGAATGTGAACAGAGAGAGGACACCCAAGCTCTCAAATAGTTTGCAAATTATTGGAATAGATGGGAAGGAAAAGAGGAACAACGAAAGCCATCTGCCAAGGATTGCAGTACAGCTTAACAGCAGTTCTACTAGAGCTCTGATTTTTTTTACCCAATCCACGAGACAATATAGCATTTAAAGGTAGTTTTTATGGTAGTTTTTATGATAGTTTGCCTGATTATATAAGCACCAGAAAGTCTTTGGCAGTTTATAAAACAGGATTTCCCTTTGTAGTATTACATTTTGTATCCTTTTCTGAACATGACATTTTTGGGAATGTACTGGAAAATAAGTTGGAAATGGATCTTTGCTACGTTCTTCTTTGTTATATTATTTTTCTGTCCTGTTTCACTGTGATTCTTCTGTTTCATGCTTCATGAAGTTATTTGGAAAGTTGTTTTCTGAAATTCTTCACCTCCAAAGAAAGGCATTTGGAGGCTTTTCTAGCTGGATAGAATATTTTTTTGTCTTCTGTCACACAGGTAAAATCCAGAAAGCCTCTCTCAAAAATAATAGTGCAGATCATCCTCTCTTTAAATAATGAACAATTTATACTGACAGTGTTACTCTTACACGCTGTGAAGAATCGGTTACTTTGAGACAAAGCTGCTATGTGTCCCCTTAGGTACTTTGGATTTAGGTCTGTCAGCGAAGTATAACTGCACAGTGAATGACTGGTGGTTGCATTTTGAGTCCTTAAATATAATTTTGTTTTATTAAAACAGATGGTCTGCCACAGCCTGTCCACTATACCTTCACAAAGTCAGTGTTTTGACATTCTCCAGACTGGCATCTGTAAATATCTTGTAAGTACTGATTTATCTTCTAGGTTAAAACTTCCTTGTGATAAATTTGCTAACAGTCTCATTAACCCTGTAATCCACTTATTCCATGTATTTCATGTATAATTTCAGTATTTTTAAAAGTTTTCAACAAGATTAAGAGGACTTTAAAAAATATCTAATAACTGTTGGTATCCAAACATATATGGATGGTTTTGCTCAGACTTCTTAATACTCCAGCTTGTTTTCAAAATGAAATGCTTCTTCATTTGGTTTGCTTTTCAAAAGAGTGACTTGCAGCTTTAGATGAATTTTTTACCTCATCAGTGTATGTAAGTATCTAAAGGGAGGTATCAAGAGGATGAATCCAGGCTCTTCTCGATGGTGCCAAGCAACAAGACAAGAGGCAACGGGCAGAAACTGATGTATAAGGAGTGCCACTGGAACATAAGGAAGAACTTCTTTACTGTGCGAGTGACCGTGCACTGGAACAGGTTGCCTGGAGAGGTTGTGGAGTCTCCCTCACTGGAGATACTCAAGAACCATCTGGACTCAGTCCTGTGCCATGTGCTTTAGGATGACGCTGCTTGAGCAGGGAGGTTGGACCAGATGACCCACTGTGGTCTCTCCCAACCTGACCCACTCTGTGATTCTGTGAGTTTTTCAGTCTGTCTTCTCTTTCTAATCCTGAACACTCCCTGAGCTGAGGATGAGGATGGCAAAGCCAGAGCTGGGTGACAAGATTTGCAGTTATCTGTGATGCTGCCTGATGAGAGGGAGGACCACAGGGTCTGCCTCTGCCCTCCTGTCACGGTGGTTCTACAACCTAAGAAGTGTCAGCAGTTCCATGTATGGAGCTCTACTGAGAAGTTACTAGACCAAAGCTTCCATAGGGAGTGGTTTACCTATAACCATAGTCTGGATTTTTGGGAGTGGTGTTGACTTAAATTAACTTTTAAATAGGCTTATGTGTTCTACTGCTTTGACCCTTTGAGAGCAAACAGTTAAGTGGGTTTTTATAGTTGACAAGACTGCTGCCCAAGATCTCTTAAGTGGCTGCTGACACCCACCAGGGAGGAAAGGCACCGTGTAGGCAACATCCTCCATAGGAACTTATTTGAGCAGCCTCATGTACTGGATTTGTATAAATTAAAACATCTGTGTCCACATCATCTTCCAGACTGGCTGCCTAACACATTTCATCAGCAGCGTTGGCTCATTTGATCTTCAGGATGCTTTCTTTACATGTAGACATTGATCTAGCTTGCTGTCATTATTTCCTATTTGGCCAGGAACAGCATTATTAGTTTTTATTATTTAGTGCCTCAGCGTCCTGTAGTGTTCAGCAGGGTCTTCAGCTCTGGTCCACTTGTGTCACACAGGAACACCATCGTTCTCCTGCCTCTCCACCTGGCTGGGGAAGGGTCAGCTTGGGACAGGGATCTGCACTCATGGCCTTGGAATATACCCAGTTTCTTATGTTGGAATGATTTAAAAGTTTGAACCCATAGTTGTTCTTTTATCTTTTACCTCCCACAAGTAATTGTATGAATGAAATACGTCACATTTCTGTAGCTTGTACTTTGATCTTTTTTTTAAACATTTCTAAAAGAAACAGGTGACCTTGTTAAGTAAACCAACCGCCTCTGTCATCTTAAAACAGTGTACTTGCAGGTGAGAAAGTTAGACTACTCTAAAATTCCTTAATAGTTTTTTAATGGAAAATGGTGCCACACTAGCAATGCATGATTTTTTTTTTTTTAATGGCTTTATGGGACAAAAATCAAGGGTACTTATTCCATAGCACTTCAAAATTTAAACTGCTTTCTAATTCACTGCCTCTACCCAAAAAAGAATTTTTTCTAAATTATTCATCGTGCCTATAAAATCCTTACTCAAGATGATGTTCTCTTTTTGACAACAGAAGAGCATCACCCCAGCCATGTGCTCACCATATATTTCATTAGCTTTAATTTATCTCAGTTCCTAATGCTCCTGTTGGATTTCAAAGGAGACTCACCCTGATGACAATCTGGTAGAAGCTTTGCTTTCTGTAGTGTAAATCAGTGTTTCCTTCTACCTCAGTGGCTGCTCACTGCCATTTCAAGACATGGAAGGGATGCCCTGTCCCATGATATATGCTTAAAAGGAAAGACCTGTTCTGCCCAGAAGATTGTTTGTGCCTGCACTGTCATTCAGAGCAAGGCTTAAAGCAGTGCTGTGTTTTTTAAGTATGTTTGAGATGAGTGCTTGTTTAAAGGGGATGGAATGAAGATGTCAATTTAAGCTTCTGTTGGTATGGGTGGCAATTTCTTGGGAAAACAGGGATTTGAAAAAATGCAGTGGTATGTAGAACTTGAACAGAAACCAAGTAATACATGTCATGGTAGGAAAGAGGTTCATTCAGCTCTAAGCATGTTTGTATTCCTGCAAAAAAACTTGTGTATAAAGTGATGAACTTGGGGTTGGTTTTTTTGTTTTGTTTTATACAGGTTGGATTGGTTGTAATACCTGATAGCACAGCTGGATCTGTTCTATGTGCCATAAATAAGCTCTTGGATCAAGCCTGCATTATAAGTGAAAACCTGCATAAGTTCTTGGCCTCTTGTTGTTACAGTCTTCTGTACTTTCTGCTAACTTTAGACAAAGAGGATGCAGAACATCTACAGAAAAGGTAAAGCTGCTCTTACCATGTTAATTGTCTCTGTCTTTGCAGCTACAAGTATTTAAAGATGTAAAATGAAAGGATACCACCCCTTGCTTTCCTCCCCCCCCCCCGAGTTTATTTTCCTGTCTTTTGCTTCCTTCAAAACAGTACTTGGATATAAGAAAGACAGCTACGAATTTAGCTGGAATTACTTAAAACAATAACTGAAGAAGGTTTCATCTTCTATTGTTCTACTTAGATGTCAGAACCATCCTGACTTTAGAAAGGTGGACATTTATACCTTAATCTTTAGCCTTAGTTTCATTAGATACATTTAAAAACACTGCAAAGATTTGGCTTTACAAGCTTGTAGTCTTTACTGACCTGATGTTTCAGCTTCAACAAAACTTCTCAGGCATCATTATGTAGACTGCAAATCCATTTGACTTAAAAAGAACCCAAAAGCTACAGATAACAGATTCAAATAAGTTTACCTGAAAAGTGGAAATGTCTTTAAACAAGTTAAACTTCAGTTTTTTCCATATATAGGAAAGTTATTTAAAGCTTCCTGAAAAGACGTGCACTTAGAGCCGGAATCCTCCTTCACTTACTGTATTTAATGACTTGCATATCACAAAAATCTGAGTACTTTAATTTCTTACGAATCTTAAACAAAGATTCAAGTGTACCTGAACAATGACTGAACCAAAAATGTCTTCCCAGCTGCGTCAAGCAGAAATTACACTGTGCAAGAACTTCAGCAACATTTGTAGCTCCAGGGCTGGACCTTTTTTTTTTTTTTTTTTTCTCCAGTGCTGTACATAATTTTGGAATATTTTAAAATTCAGCATTTTCTGGTACAAGTTTTCTGCTTTGCTACCAATACTGGTGAAGGCAGCTGGCACGATTGAATTCACAGCAGCACATTTCCTTAGACAGCCATGCAGCCAGTTCACAGCAGCATCCTTGAAATATATATCCTCAGTCATTTCAATTTTTATTCTGCTTTCCTCTCAGGGATATGCTGTGGGGATCGTGTATATCTGCATTAGCACTCCTGCCACGATTACTGAGGCTGATGCTGCAAAGCCTGCAAGTGAGCAGGATCTGTCGGGAAGAACTGCCTGTTGTTGCTCAGTTGCTTCGCTTACTAATGCAACACGGTCAGCTCAGGAGCCATATGATCACAAACGAGTTTCTGGTGCAACAGATCATCAAGGACATCATGGTATGAAACTTGCCAGAGACTGCATATACATCGTGTTTATTTTTTAAAATTATTGCAAATGTTGAAGAAGAATACTTTAAACAAAACAGTAGTGGTGGAAGCACATGTGAGAGATTATGATGCAAGTTCTCTAACTTGCAAGTTTGGTTTCCTTTAGTGTTGAAAATCCCACAGCCAGTTCTTGTGATGTTCCACCATGTGTGGGTTGGGTTTGGTTTTGGGTATTTTTAACCACTTACAAATGCTGAGAAGAGTCAGTTACTGGGCCATGGGCTACATTGATCTGTGGGTAGCAGTTCTCCTGTAGACTGGGTTAGTGAGCTCTCCTGCCTTAGTAGAACCACGCTCATTTGCATTTTAATTGCCTGTAAATTGCAGAATGGGGAAGTAAGTGAATCACTTCAATTAAGAGTAAGGAAAGCACATCTGGTGTAATTCACACACTTGATAATGTAACACTGACTTAGTGTACCCAGTCATAACACTTTATTATTTGGGCTTTAAGAGACATACCATGTTGAAATATTTAAACGAGGAGAACAGTGTCACTGTGTGCAGGGGAACAAGGCTGTCTTGTACCTTTAACAGCACACCTGATTAACTGTAAAAACAAAGCAAAGGTTTGCAAGTTTTACCTTTTTTCTCCTTCTCCGTAGACACTGAAGAGCGGTGAAGTTCAGGAGCAGTGGCTAACAGACCTCCATTACTGTTTCAACATCTACCTTGCCTCTCACCCCCAGACACCTGGCCCTATGAACGCGGTATATTAAAGAGGTCGAACTGCATTTATTGTAAAGCATTTACTTCTATTTAGTTTTGAATGGAAGATGTTGGAACAAAGCTTGTCAATTTTTTTGTAAGTGAAACAATAAAAATTTTACAGAGAACTGCATACCTCTATTGCCTGTCTTTTCAAGCAAGTAGATGTTACTGGAAGGTGTTTTAATAGATGTGGTGACCACAGTGAGGGGTGTTAAAGAAAATCCAGTCTCCTTGAAGCTTAAGTGCTTGCAGAGAAACAGAGTTATATTGAATCTGGTCATCTGTTATTTTGAAGCATCATATTAAAAAAACTCAGAGTTATGTAATACTAAGTAGAAGAAAAAATAGAAAACAATATACTTTGAAACTAGAGTAACATTTTTTATTTTTGTTGAGTTCATATTTTTTAAATACTTTGTGCAAGGTAAATACTGTACACTGTGGCAGCTGCAAAACTATTAAAAGAACTATTTTTTTTTCCTAGAACAGGATCCTCTTTTTTTTTTGCTTTCTGTAGAAATTCTTTTCATGCATGTAGAAAAATAGTTATTAAAAAAATTGGTGATAATCTTAAAGAGTAGAAAATGCACCTCTAATAGTTTCCATAGGTTGTGAAAGCAATTTATTTACTTAGTGTTTTATGTCAACATCTCTGCTTTTCCCTCCAAATCCATAGTTAAAAACAATTGTTTCTTTAGTATGGAAGTGGAGCATGAAGGCTGTTCTTCCATTCCTGTTTGGATTTTGAAATTAATGTAATAAATTGGAGGTGAAGTAATACAGCAGTCTTTCAGAACTGCTAGAGCTTTAGTACATTTTCCTTCTCTTTCCAAACTGTGTTTGAACACAATTAACATTCCTATTTTTTTACAATGGAAAGCTTTGGTCGCCCCTGCAAGGTTATTGTAATGCTGGGCTTAGTGCTTCATTTTCTGTTTCCAAATGCAATTCAGATTTCATCCTGTGTTGGTAAAGAAATTAACAGTTGCATTTAAAAACTAATTTGTACACAAAATTACTCCAACTCCTTAGAAGTCTGCTTGGCATGTAATACTGAGATAATACAAAATTGAAAATGTGTTCAAGTTTCATATGTTGTAGATGGCTTATACATTATGAAAGATAACAATTGTACTGGAATGGATTTTAAATTCCAAACATTTGGTTTTGCTTAGTGCTTGAGTCTTGTATTTTTTGATTTTGCTGCAGTGGTTGGTCTCATGTTGTATGAAAATTGTTTTGATTTTCCCATGTTCTCCAGCAAATTAACACACTGTAGGTTGTTTACTGTAAAAGAACAAAATGGTTTTGATGAGTGACTCCAGAGGATGAAAAGTTTCATCTGCACTGCATTCTAGATTTCATAAACAGTGAATCTACTGAACATGCCCTTTTTTCCTGGCATCTCACTGTTGATTGCCTGTAAATAGTTTGGTTTCTGTGGCACCCGGTACAGCTTGCACAGAACACTGCTGCTGTGTGTGTTGGACTTCAGCAACCTGTAGTGGTGGAGCTTAACTCCACATTTACCCTCATAAATGAATGAAGGCTTCCAGACTAACACACTGCTCTTGGCTGAGTTTGCTGAAGAGCAGCAAGAAATTTTGTTGAGCAATATTTAGCAACGTTAGGTGGGCCATTTCTAGAAAGTAGGGGAAACTAGGCCAGGGTTAAAGCAAGTGCTCTTCGAATTATTAGAAAGCAAGAGTCAATGTCATCTGACCATTTTCCTCAGGTTTGAGTCTGGCTGAATGTCTGGGCTCATGCAATGTTTTTATTTCCTGCAATCTGCTTCAAATAATATGCATGTTTTCCCTTCCCAGTTTTGTAAATGTTTTGAGGCTAAATTTCAGTGCTTTATCCCCTTCTAGCCACGGTCCTTCTAAATCTGAATGTTTCATTGAGGGTGTGAACTCAGCACATTTTAAGGACTTCTTTTTAATGCCAAGAGTTGGAAAACGTCCTTCTTTACAACTCTGAAGATGCTTTAAGGTCCACAGTGAAACCAGAAAACCAGGCTGTCTGGCCTGCTGCAGACAGACTCTTTACCATTTGCTAAATTGACACAAAACAATCTATTTAATAAATTTAAAAAAAAAAAAACAAAAGGGAACAAATTCCAGGTTTTGAAATGTTTTAATGGTAACAATCTAAAAGGCCCTAGTTGCTGGAATATTCTGAAGCACCTATCCAATATCTGTATATCCCATTGCATGCTCCTTTTCCACCTGTCACCTGCTGCCTGCCTTATTTGTACATTTCCTTTGAATACCTTCTGCATATCCCCCCTTCCAAAGTGTTTGAGTTTGGTAGAGATTTGTCACCGCACACTTTTTCCATTACCTATATGAACATTAAAGCTAGAGCTGACAGTCAGTCTTCACCTTCCCAGATGTACCTTCTGCAAGAGAAGAATCAAACTGAACAGTCCATTCTGACCTACTCCAGGCACCTACGTCAGAAATGGAGTATCTGGCATTAGCCACTGACAGCTCTGAACTTTTCCAACAAACGTAATGTTGTCATGCACAAAGGCAGTCAGATGAAAAACATGTTATTGTCTTTTAAGTAAGGGCTAAAGTTCCCTGAGCTCCTATTAGGTGAATAAAAGTAGGTAGTGTTCTAAAGGAACTGGGCAGAGTTCCTATCACTATCCTATTCGTCACCAAGTTATCAAAGCAAAGGACACTCAAGCCTCAAAAGAAAGCCTTTTTATTTCAGAAGACAGGGAGATCTGTTGTCCTGAAAAGTTAAACGAAAAGAAGCATTATTTGCTAAAGCTCTTTTAAAATTTAGATTCATATCTGCATGAAGAGGTGGCAATCAAACACCTGTCTGGTCATGCCTCTTAATTAAAACAGTTCTCAGTGAAAGAAAAAAGCCTCTGTCTCTTAGTAAGTCAGAAACTCACCTACAGTTCTAACAAACTCAAGGATAGGTCCACTGTTGGATTTCCTTCTGACTTCATAGTTTTGTTAAACTAGAAAAATGTATTTTACTTCCTTTTGCAAATTACCTGAACTACTGTCTCCTTGAAGTGCTTGATTAGTTCTGTCTAGCTGTGTCCTGCCTCTGAGCCACGTGTAGTACAGCCATGAACACCAAATGCCCAACAAGGCTCTAAATCTTGACATGGTGAAGCACTAACATGCCTCCCAACCCCAAGTAAGCACATAATACACTTGAAAAAGTCTTAAAAATGGCATTTAGTAAAGAAGTAGTAGGAGAGATGATCATATAGCTTAATTTTTTAAGCCAGCTGTCAATTAATGCCACACGCATGAAAGTTCCAGCCTTTAATGACCCCAGTAATACCTTTACAATCTTAGTTCTTTGACACCATTCTGTTTCACATGGTGCAGCCCCTTATGTCTGCCAGCATGGCTTGACAGTCCTGATCGTGCCAACCCTACTGCCCTGATACCAGTTCCAGACATAACGTTGCAGTTGCAAACAGACCTGGTAATGACAACGTGGCTTCTGAATTAAGGAGAAAAATAAATGCATGATTTTGTTGGAGCCTTAAAACTTAACTGCAAACAAAATTCTATGAAATGACCAAAGCTCCATGCCCAGCCCAGGATCCCCATTATGACATTTTAAAAGAAAGGGCAGAGATCAGATGAGTAGCTTTGGATTTTCAAGTTGTCATCTCTGCATTAAAGCATGTATTTGTAAAAAACAGGTGTGTAAATTCTTGGTACATGTAGCATTCTTTAGTTCTACAGGACTAGTAAATATTTGTGCTGCTGAACCCAAGTATGAACATCTGTCAACAGTTTTAACCACAGGTGAATGTTATCTGCCTTAGCACTGTAAAAGTCCATTATATTAAGGTCTTTCCTAGTAATAGCCCAATGAAAACAGGTTTTCATCTAAATGTTTTGACAGAAGAATAAAAGTGCAGTGCTCAACTAAGTCCAAAACTAGTGAAAGAAAGAGCATACAATCACAACAGTTTGGTCGTATTTTGAAAGGAGAGCCCAGTCCTTGAGCAGATTTTTTTCTTTTCTAAGAAGAAACCAATCTTGTATATATAAACATTAAAGTATTCTTAAAATGGATGTGTCCTACCTGAGACCAGCTGCACATCAGAAAATTTCAGCTTAGAAGGAGATCTTGTTGACTGACACACTTTGCCTTCCTGAGAACGCCCTTTAACAAACAATATGAACAGCTCTGTGTTTATTCACATAAACATGGTTATGTAAAGCTACAAACTATTTCGATAAGCTACAGCATTGTTTTATCCTAAAAATTATTCTAATTTCTGATGAGGAAACTCATGAGACGTTCTATATAATAGAAAATTGTGACAACCACAACTGAAATTTAAGTAAGGTTAAAATACCTCTTGGGGTTGTTATTAAAAAAAGGGGGGAAAAAAGGAAAATAAATTTATTAGTTTTATTTATGTTATCCTTTTTGGCTATCTAAGCTACAGAGCCATGATAGAAGTAACTTACCACCTGGTAAAGTACTTATACTTTGCATATCCTTACTCCATCAGTGACCCACATTGTAAAGGAACTCAAGGTCTAAAAGCAATGCTTTCCTCTACCATTTCTTCAAGATGCATTCCTTTGCACTGTGCACATTCAGGCACAATGCAAAGCAGTGCAGAGTCACTGTAAAAGACAGTCTTTCCATAAAGACCACTTATGTTCAAACGTGAACATACTCTTCAAATGGAAATATTTTAAAAACAGCACAAACCAAAGTTTAAAATAATGCTTAAAAAAAATGAAACCAGGATCCAGATAGCCACGCTGCATGGATACAGTCTGCTATCCCCAGTTTAACTGCTTTGTTCTTTTTCCACATTGATATATGTGAGCAGCTCTGGCAACGGAATTATTTGGTTGCTCAAGACCTGTGCTGGAATAATGCTTTAGCAGAAGCCATTTTAAATCACAGAGTTGATGTTTGGTTTTTTTAACCTGAAACTGAAACGAAATTACCCAGAACTCCTGAGATTAAGACTGATTTTTATAAATAGTTGAAATCCCTAGCAATTGGGTAAAAAGCGAGTAGATGAATACACTCTGTTAAAAAGATAAAAACTTAGTTATTTAAAATAAAGTATAGTGAAAATTACCATATATCTGCTTTAGGATAGACTGCTTGCTG